CTCGCTATAAGTACATGCCTAATTTTTTTTTATTATTTTGGTTAATTTCGTTATTTTATTATTGTGATAAATAATGCCTTAAATAATTATAACAAAAATTTTAATCATTTAAATATATCAATGTGGATTTATAAGTAAAATTTTAAAACAAATTAAAAATATTTCTTTTCCTTTACATTATCTCAATGACTTAGAAAAAAATCACTACACCACGCCGCGCGGATCATATAGCACATTAAAATACAGCAGGACGGTGACCGGCGACCTTAAATTAAAGTTTTAAAAATAGTATTGCTTACCGGTCACCAGTGCCCCCATGGCCTGATTGAACTAATTAGATGCCGGTCACCAGTGACCCCCATGGAGACTAATGTGTTAACGCTCGCTGTAAATATAACAGAACGCGAGTAACCCGGGTTCAATCCCCACCGGCACCAATGAAATTGTTAATTGCAAATGTGCTTGGCGGTGAAGGAAAAATCGTGAGGAAACCTGCATGTCTGAGGAATAAGAAAAAAAGCATTTCGAAAACATGTGAAGTTCGCCAACTCGCATTGGGGCAGCGCGGCGGACACTTCCTTGTCCTAAAACCCTCTCAGAAGTGAGGGGAGGCCTGTGCCCAGCAGTGGGACGTATATAGGCTGTAACTTTACTTTACTTTACTTTAGGGAAGTTATTGGTTTCACACCGATTTTCGAAAATCGAGTTTTTATCAGATCTCGACGTTTTGAGATCCCAGGAAGCTATTCTGACTAATTTTACGTGGACGTCCGTACGTATGTATGTATGTACGCACGCGTGCGCGCGCGTTTGTGTGTGTGTGTGTGCGTAGGTAATCTAAACCTTTCTTAACTTTTGAACGTCTTGATTGATTGAGATGCGGTTTGCGGCGTTCTAAAGATCTTAATGTGGAATAGGTTCTGTGATAATATGAACTGATTCAGACGAGTAGGTTTTGAGAAATCTCAAAAATAAAAATTTTGAAAAACTGTTTTTTTAAATAACTTTTAAGCAGCTTCATCAGCTCTTAACCTCAAAAAAATGAGATCGAATGCCGTTTGGAAAATAAAAATCGGTTCATTCGTTTGTGAGATATCGCTTTCGATATCTCACAAAGGAATAAACCGATTTTTTCCTGCTAATTTCATATTCGCATTGCATTTGAAATTAGCAGGAAGTTCCGGGAATGGCCTGCAGGGTCAACCTATTTTTTTTATTGATTTTACTGCGCACGCACACGTTCATAAGGGTCGATCGTCAGGCAAAAATATTGTTGCCCATAAATCACATTCAATTTGGGATCATTTCTAATAAAAGTAAAAGCCTTATTTACTGGTATTTTCAGAAACGGCAATAACGGCGCCAAAGTTTATATATTTAAACTTAATTTTAAAATTTGGCTACTCTTTAAAAAATAACCCTGTATTATAAGGTACTACTATTTTGTTGGTTAATAAACGTTACTTTCATACTACTTCTATGAACTACGAACGATATTTGACATTTGTATGCCCATAAGGCTGATCACAGACTGAACTTTTATATTGATTAAAACTACTTTTACGGATTTTATCGCGTTTTATTTATATTAATTTTAATACCAGACGTTTCGGGTGCTTTCCAGCACCCATGGTCACGGGGGGTTCGCGTAAATATAAGAAATTATTATGAAATTTTATAATTAAGACCTTTTTGTAACCTGTGAATCACAAATAAACAATTTGATTTGATTTGATACGCGTTTATCGTATATCTTTTCAATGGAAACGTGTCATTCCATCTTAGTACTTAGGATTGACAATGCATCTGCATTTTGATTCTTAATTGAGGATTAAATGTATCTATGAGACTCAGCATCTAATTACCATTCATTGGACTGTGTGATTGCTTTTAAACTATATTCTATAAAAAAATTCTCAGACGTTTTATGTATAATATTTTGTAATTTATAATGCTGTGTTAATCCCTACTTTAATGTGTGAAAGTTGGGAGTGGCAGAAGAAGCACGACAGTAAAATAAATGCTGTAGAAATGCGGTCGTTTATGAGGATGCTAGGGCTGAATTTGAATGACAGGTTTGGAAATTGTGTGATAAGAGAAAAATGTGGTGTGCAAAATGATGTTGTGACCAGCATTAAGGGGAAATATAATCTCAAATGGCTTAGCAAGATCCTTCGTTATGTCGAAAATATTGCAGCATTAATTTTGAAATAAATATATGGTAAAGTTGAGGATTAATGTTAATGATTATGTTAGACGAAAACACGATTTCGTAAAATTTTCTCGATAGAAAAAAAATCCAAAATTACCTCCAAAATAAACAATAAACCGCTGTTATTCATAAAATACTTTAAATAAGATCATGAAACTTTGCATACTAACTGAACTAACTATAAAGCAGTGCTTATGTTATTTACTTTTTTTAAAATACCATTATTTTCACTGTAAAAAGAAATTACCTAAACTATCGGCGTCTTAAGCTAGATTCCTGTCGCACCGTTAGTATCGCTTAGGCTTTTGAAGGGAGAAGTTGTGTCGCTTACGATCAGAATATACATTACGCAACAGGACGACGTAAAATTAAAATGGGAAATAACCACAATAAAAATAAGAAGCGACTGGTTTGGCGTTAAGAAACAGGCATAAATATGATAAACCTAATAAAATAAGTATCTAACGACCTTTCCACTTACAGTATTAGTGATTACAAACATGTTGGTACATAGCATACGACGCGCGGGCAAGTGGGGACGAAATTAGAATTTAAGCTGACTTACTCTATCCCCTTAAGAGAGGAATGCTTCTGGTTTGGTCATGTAGAAAAAATGAACGAGGAGAGAGTGACAAAGCTCTAGACGAAGATTTATCGACCTAATTGGCGATTTATTAAATATAGTCCAAATAAGGAGTACCCTTAACCGACGAGCGTATATTCGTTGATATATGGATGTAAAGGAGGCGAGAGAGATGTATCAGGATCGTGCAAAATGGAAGTCCATAGTCTCTGCCTACCCCTCTGGGTGACAGGTGTGAGTGTTTATGTATTATTTATTATGTATTTTTTATAGAAAAATAATAATATATCCGTATAATATATATTAGCTAACCCATATAAGTGTTGTAAAAGGCGACAGAGGTTGGGTAGTAGCACCTTCCTGATAACAACAAATGAAAAAGGTTGCCAGCCCAGAAAATATGACTTCATATATGATGAGGCCTATAATAAGCAGTTGACTATTGAAAGGCTGTAATGAAAACGAAATTATGTTAAAAACCTAAAATACTGAAGTATAGAAGAGTCGGGGGGTCTCGATGGTCATATTTTCTTTATCCAATAAGGGTGACAAACGTGCTCACAGTCCACTTGATGGTAAGTGGATGCTGTGGCCCATAGACATCCACATTTATCTTCGATTAAAAATAAAAATGCAGATGTGTTGTCAGAACTGAGGACTAAGATGTAATACTTAGTTTCCAGTAAAAAGGGTCCCCGGTACACTTACCATACGAAACACAGCAGCTATAAGCTGCTATTTTACACTGGTATTTTTTGAGAGCGTGGTCCTACCCCGGTCCAGCCGACGCATTTGTGCTACAACCATAATATAGCTGCAGCGTGGCTCTACCACATAAAGAAACACGCTATATATTATATTATAGTGTATACGTATTATAGTGTAGAAATACGCTTGAATATACACTTTACACTGCATTCGAACCTTTTCAACCATTACCATAATAGTCTTTTAAAGTCCCCTGCTGAACATCCTGGCCTCTTCCATAGATTATATATTAGGTACATGACATAGCGTCACAGGATATATATATATATATATATATATATATATATATATATATATATATATATATATATAATCCTGTTTCATTTACCGTTGTCGTCTTTAAAGATACACACGCGACCATATGGGGCAGTGGATATTCTTTTACCGCCACTACATGGAAATTTTTTCACATAATCAATAAAGGGTAAGTCCACACGGCACGTTGCGTCAGCGTTGCGTTTATTTAGCGCTGTCACTGCGCCGTTTACCATCCTAATAATCATAATGTACACACGGTGCGCTGCGTTGACGCAACGCGCTAACGACTGTCAGCCCCCGAGACAAAGAGAAAGGGGTGCACAGCTTGCGTTGATAGCACGCAAGCTAATTTCGTTTTTTATTTGAGTTTAATTTGCAGAGTATAATGAGTACCATCAAAGAAACTGATATGGATTACTTGCAATGATGCAGCGCCGGTGTGGCCGGCAATGCGTCAAAATATTACGCAACGTAACGCGTCATGTGGACTCCCTCAAACATGGTATGGAATATGAATGCATTTGTGCAAATACAACATTGTTAACAAGATGACATCATGTGTGAGTGACTATGATCGAAATCGAGAGAAGATCGTCAATTATCATAATCATCATCATCATCATCAGTATCATATAGAAAAGAAGTATTTGAAAGCTCTTAAGCTTAAGCTTTTAAGAAGACGTATTATCCCCTGTCGGATGTATGACGTTTCAATTTAAAATTGAGTCAAAATATGAATATCTGGCCAGATCAGATGATTGTCTTCCCAGTTGTTAACTCAAGCATGATACGAAGCTGATAATGAACAAGGTAGAAGATCTTATTTTTTTATTTCATTCCTTTTTCCTTCTTGGTCTTTAAAAATCCACGCTGGTTATAAACGCTCATTGGCAGAGGAATTGTCAATAGAATCAACTTCTTCGACGCAACTTTGGCTCTGCTCCCCTTTACTGATACACCTATCCTGATGTAGATCTTACATGTTCCATCTATCGGAGACTGTGTGGTCGATATGGTCTTTCCCATAGTCACCTCTTTCGACATCCACGGAACGAAACAGGTTGTTAGTTAATGAACAATTTTTTCTTTGTAATAAATATACTAAAATTCTGAATGTCACTATGTCTAACTTGTATTTTAAAATATAACCCGTAAGACTAGGCTACGTGGACGTGAGACCTAAAAACTATTTAATTTTAAGCCTAAACTGAAGATATTGCTCGTGGACCTACCTTGTAAGCTTTTTTTCCCATGTTCTCCATGTTCTTCCTCGTGCGACGCGTGATGTTCTTTACCTCGTCCTGTATGAAACAAATTGATCATTAGTTTTTGAGAAAGTGTACTATGTATGCACGTTTTGTTCCTATCTGTGAGGGTAATGGATGTCACATTGATAGTTATTGGTTCCTTTCTTATTTTTTTACCCAAATAATCGTTTACTTCTTCATTTGTCATTAGTGCAGTTTTTTCATTTGATTATAATGTGGGTGTCTCCGAGGCAAGGCTTGACTTTTGGTAATTTAGCTTACAGTGTGCTTTATTATTTTCAGCTACATCACCACTTTTTTATAAGGAGGTTTGTGTGCTTATTTGTCAGCCTTATTATATATTTTTTATAGAATATGGGTGACAAACTAGCACACAGTCCACTTGATGGTAAAAGGATGCTACGGCCTATAGACATCTATGTTTATCTTCAATTGAATCAAAATGCAGTTGCGTTGTCAACCGCTGAGGACTGAGATGGAATGCCTCGTTTCTAGTAAATAGGGCCTCCGGTTCTTTACATTCACCATACGAAACACAGCAGTATTAAGCTGCTATTCTAACCTGGTATTCTATGAGAGTGTGTTCCTACTACGGTCGAGTCGACCCATTCGTGCTGCAACCACAATATAGCTGCAACATAGCTCTTACCACGTAATGCATTACCATTTCCAATATTTTGTCTGTCTTTTTGTTATTTAAACAAAATGCAGATGCGTTGTTACCTCAGAGTACTAAAATGGAATACCTCGTCTCCAGTAAAATAGTCTCCGGTTCTCTACACTCACCATACAAATAGCAGCATTAATCTGCTATTTTACGTTGGTATTCTGTGAGAGTGTGGTCCTTTCCATATCATAATATAGCTGTAGCATACTCTCCCACATATCTCAATAGAATACCTTAGGACTAGGTACTTAAATGTCCCTTACTTTAATAAATGTTAAAAAACGTCGACATTTCAATTTGATTTATGTGCGTGGACAGAGAAACCTATAGACTAATGACTAGTTTGGCCACGAGTGAGAAAGGACGATAACGTAGTTTTAGGTTATACAATAATCTTTATGACTTTTAAACATATTTAGATAAAAAAAATTAATTTTTCTAAGAACTGAACTGACCAAGATTCACCAATTTTAAACTCACAAAACGCTTTTTTTCTCACTTAAACCAACTTGTAAAGTCCTTAGATCGCTACGAACTGTCAAAGTTGTTAACAAAGTGTAGTTTGCTAAACAAAAAAACTGTCACGGAGAAAGGGACACACAATCATACATTTCTATGCAAAACGTATGCATAAATCTATCTTTTTCGTGTGCGAATGCGAAAGAAGGCGACAATTTATCTATAGGTTTCTCTGTCTACGTTTATGTGTATAGATATAGATTAGAAAGAATTGGGCCCTTTCCCGTATATCGGTTAACTAGAATTTTAGATGAGTAGAAAACCAGCACAAATCTATAAAGAAGTAATCAAAGCGTCATTGATTTGGCGCCTACGAGACTGATAGTTGTGAAATGCGTGAACCAGTTAGTACAGTATTGAATCGCTGTGTCCACAAAACGATTGTAATAAAAGATTTAATTTAATTGAATTGCTTTTACTGAACGTGACGAGAAGTGAACCATTGCGTTTAAAGTACGGTTGTGATGTGATTTAGTGGGAAAGCTTTTAAAATCGGTGCTAAGAGATAGTTTATCGAAAAATTGAAGCTCTGGCTTTCGAAGTTATTATTGTAAATTATTATTTTTTTAGTTTTAAAGTGTTTTGTTAACAACAAGAACGTCTTCCAAATTTAAAATTTATATAATTTTTTATAGAATAAGGGCAACAAAGGAGCACAACACTGTTTACTTGATGGTAAGTGGTTACTGCGGCCCATAGACGTCTACATTAATTTATCCTCGATTACGAGTTAAAATGCAAAAGCATCGTCACCCGTGAGGACTAAGATAGAATGACTCGTTTACAGTTAAAAAGATCTCTGGTTCTTCACCCTCACCATACGAAACACAGAAGCGTTGAGCTGCTATTTCATGCTGCTATTCTGTGAGAACGTGGTTCTTCCCCGGTCAATTTGATGCCTTCGTGCAACAACTGTACTACTTTTAGTACACTACAGACTATAGTTCCAGTGTGGCCTTACCACGTATAATATGTGCCTATAGTTATTCTTTGCCACCTTTTTTGCTATTTTAAGATAATAAAAAACAGTATATTACTATAAAATTACTATAAAATTTGTTCCTTAAATAATAACAACAGGTTGAAAGGGTGTACCGTTGTGGTAGAGCTATACTGCGGTTATTTTATGGTTGTAGCACGAATGGGTCGGCTCGACCGGGGAACTGGTATGCTCGCATAGATTAACAACGTGAAATAACATAATAACGCTTTGCTTCGTATCGTGAGTCCATCTTAGTTCTCAGAAGTGACAACGTATCGGCGTTTTAAATCTTAATCGAGAATAAATGTAGATGTAGACACAAGAATAACACTTCCTTTTTCAACCCTGTTGTTAAAATGTGCCGTGATTATCACAAGATTAAGCATAGTAACGTACATCTAGATATATTCGATAGTAGCCTGATTAGATTTAAAAGAAATTTACGTGTTTTTCTTAACATTCAATGTATTTGTTATCTGTTTTATTTTTGCTAAGACTAAGATTATACTGTAGTTATATTATTATGCTGTGTACACTTTTTGGATTGTAGTTTAGATCAACACAAATATACTTTTAATTTTAGACCTTTATATAACTACTGTCTGTTTGTGTACCTTATTCAATAAAATAAAAAAATAAGATGTTTACGGGCCATAGCATTTATTTACCCTCAGATGGACTGTTTGACCGTTTGGTCACCTTTATTTAATAAAAAGAATCGTTTTAAAATTAGTTTAAGAAAAAACAGGAGGATGTTGAAAGATCGTGTGGTAGTAGAGCTACCCTGTAGCTACATTTTAACTACATCACGAATCGGTCTGCTCGACCGGGGAAGTACCTTGCCCGTATGGAATACCAGCATTAAATAGGAGCAACAGAAGACTTTTTTCTAGTAATTGGATATTCTATCTTAGTCTTCAGGGTTGTCACTCGTACTGAGAATGTCAAAAAAGGAGATTATATTGAATTCTTTCCGTCATCACATTAGTTATGCAATGATAAGAGAGATCGTAATTCAAAAAGAAACAACGAAGAATAGTCAAAATAAACAACATTGATGGAACGAAGTGTAAGACTGCGTGACAAATTGACATTATCACGGTAACAAATTCCCAAAATATGCGGATCTTACTACTGTCACCGTTACAGCCTATTAAAAGTCAGTCACTCTTGAACACAGGCCGCCTTGCCCCCCCCCCTCCCCCTCTCCCCTATAAGTTGACTCACAGGGCGATATTTACCATAGTTTTAACGCTTGGCAAGCGGGTTGGCAACCACAGTTTTTTATTTTTAGTCGTTATTAGGAAGACGCTGCTGCCCATCTCCTGAATGGTTTCCCTCTGTCATAGGATGACCATCATCACCACCACCACTACACGGTAAACTTATAATTACAAATTCAAATTACAAAATAATTATTGGTATCTATGCTAATTGAACCGAGGTCGCGTTCTATGAAATTCACGGCGGTCACATAGCCTAAGCTACTAAGGCTTTATTATGTGTAATTTCATCTGTTATGCAAACAACTGATTCTTTCGATTTAGGCCATTAAGTTTATATAACCGGAAATATTTTCAATATTAAAATGGTTGTGTAAATAAAAAGTAAGTCGTGTAGAAAAAATACAATGCACAAACAAATTTGCGGTAAATCACCATTTAGTTTGTAAAGGGTCATTGGACGAATGCGCGGGCGAGTTGAAGTGCAGTCAGCTGTGACCATATTGATTGAGCATTAAACAAGCCTAAGTTATTCGTGAATTGAAAACAAAATTTTACTTTTACTTAGAGAAACAAAAATTATAATAATGTCCTCCAAACCGACTTTCGGTCACGGCCGATAATCACAACGGTGATTAGCCATCTGTGGAGGCTAGGATTATAGTGCGCAAGTGTATGCTCAAACTGTGTACTCTATATTCCTTTACTCTCATAGTAACCCCGCAGGACCAACGTCTTTACCTGCTTTCCGCGGCACGGGGTTAAAGCACCACTAACTTCTGAACTCCAGGTTTCTCTTAACTCACAATTTCTTGACAGAAAAACCCAATAACGGACCCGATCCGGGATTCGAACTGGGTTCTTCATAATAAGCAATTATGTTTACGACTACTAGACCAACAAGACAGTCGAAAAATTAGAGCCGTGGTAGCCCACGGGTTTAAAATTCACTGTAAATATCACAGTACGCGAGCAACCCGGATTCGAATCTCACCGACACCCATGTATATGTTAATTGCAATTTAGAGCGCTGTTTTACTACTTTTTTTTAAAGGATAGGGTGACAAACGAGCACACAGTCCATCTGATGGTAAGTGGTTACTGTGGCCCATAAACATCTACATCTATCCTCGATTACGAATCAAAATGCAGATGCGTTGTCACCCGTGAGGACTAAGATGGAATGCCGCGTTTCCAGTAACAAGAGTCTCCGGTTCTCTACACTCACTACACGAAACACAGCAGCATTAAGCTACTATTAGACGCTGGTATTCTGGGAGCCGTGGTAGCTCAGATGGTTAGCGCTCGCTGTAAATTTCACAGTACGCGAGCAAACCGAGTTCGATCCCCGCCGGCACCAATGAAATTGTTAATTGCAATTTTAAGTGCTGATTTATCACGTGCTCGGCGGTGAAGGAAAACATCGTGAGGAAACCTGCATGTCCGAGAAATAAGAAAAAAAATTCGAAGACATGTGAAGTTCACCAACACGTATTGGGGCAGCGCGGTGGACAATTCCTTGCCCCAAAACCCTCTCAGAAATGAGGGGAGGCCTGTGCCCAGCAGTGGGACGTATATAGACTGTAACTTTACTTTACTTTACTTTATTCTGGGAGAGCGTGGTCTTTCCCCGGTCGAGCCA